GCTCCCAATTAAGAGGGACTTATTCCAACACCTAAATAATACCTCGACAAACTGTTCTGTTCCTCTACCAATAATCAGTCATCAGAGAAGACTAATGGATGATGATGATGAGCACAAGTGCTTTGGCTAAATTATGAATACATCTCACTTGTTTGCACATCTATTTTCTTTATCTATTTTTTTTAATGATGCATCTTGTGAAAAAAATGCATTCTTGTGCAACTTTAATTACATTTCATATTTAATAGTGACAGCTGGAGAAAGGCACCAGCGCCCTTGCGACCCAAACTGGGATTAAGCATGACAGAAAATGGATGGATTTCATAGAACCACAATTGCAAAAATTTTCTTTTTTTCTATATTAGTTGAATGAAAGTTGCGCGCAAATTTATGGAAACACATCCAATGATGCAAGACAAGTCGAACAATCTGATGAATCCATCAGAAGGCAGGTTTTTAAAGAAGCCGTTTCATCTTCTTATCTAAATGACATGTTACTCTACAAAGACATATTTAAAGGTGTTAATATTTTTTCACATTTACAGAAAAAAAATAGCTACTTAGTTTTTTAAAACTATTGTGTGCTTGCCTCTCCTTTTTTTTTAACACAGTGTGGTTTATTTTATTTTGGTGTTTGAAGCCCAAAGAGTTCCACAGTTTCTTAATGTCTGTTTCCATGCCAACAGATACCTGAAAAAACTATATTCTGCGTAAACTGATGTACAGTTACATAATTTGTTTTTCCTTTATCCTGTACCTAGGCAACTTCAGAGAAAAGTTTCACACATTTGCAAACATGCATATGCATAATAAATAGGAGAAAGGATGCCTGGTTGGTTCTTTACTCTGAAAAAGAAAAGCCATGCATAGGTTAACAAATAGACGTTTAAGCTACTATCAAAAATTTTAGTAATTTCAATAAACTGAGTTTAAAGTAGTGCTGTGGATGCTTAATTACAAAAAAAAGATATTCAAACTGTTTTGGCTCTCCCCTGCAAACATCACCATCTCCAATCTTTCAAACAATATATTTGTCAAATAATACTTGAGAATCTATCTCAACAGAGATAGATAGAAACAGAGTTTTACAGTTTTAAAAATTTTGAGTTAAACTCTGACTGCCTAAATGTAGGCAGTGTAAGATGTTCCCCTATAGTTCATGTGCTATAAATGTACCATCCAGGCAATGAGTCATTTTAAACAGTAGCCTTTTACAGCTGCTGTTATCTTATCTAAAACATATGCAATGCTTCTCTAAATTCAGATCATTACTGACTTTAAGGTAATGATTATAATCACTCTTCATGAACATCTATCAACATTTACAAGTTTATTTGCTGAAAAATGTTCTAAATTGCAGGGAACTAACTTATAAGCATAAGCTCATATTTGCAGAATTATTTTAAGAAATGTTTGCTAGAGTGCCCTACTTTGACACACCCAGGGTCTATTAACTGAGTGATCATGATGGAGTACAGAAGGTAACATCTGATGTTGTATTGACAAATGTCAAGTGCAAAGGAACTCAGTGGATATCCAAAAAGGAGAATTGTCTAAATTAGTCTGGAGTTCTTTCCAAACCATTGCAGATTCTAAGATCATAAGGTCAGAAATTGCACCCAAGTTGAAAATATCCAGAAGCTTTTTTTTAGAAGACTAAAGCTGTCCACATTAAAAAAAAAAGAGATGTTAGAAGCTTTTGGAACAGTTTCTAACTGCAGTTAATCTACTTTTACAATTGTAGCCATTATACCCGTTTATGGCTCCAAAAGCTTGTTTTGAAAGGTATTTAACTCAGCATCAGCAATGTTGAATTTACAATTTGGATGCAGAAACGGTTAAATGACCAGTTATTTGGTCAAAAAAACAATTACCACTGTTGTGTATAAAGTGATCATACCACTCACTATGAAAACACAACACCAGGCCCTATGAAAGCCCAATTTGTTCAGAGTATGAGTAAATGGAACTTCAACAAAAAGATTATTTTCTTTACCAAGGACAATACAATAAACTTGCAGATTGGAAAATACTGAGTGTAAATACAGAATTTTGACATGTTTTTTTTCCAATGGATGGCCAAAAAACTTATATAGCTAAAGAAAGTACAAAATACAGAATCCAGTGCTACAATAGATTCTTTAGTAGTTCAATTTAGTATTAATAGCTGCACTAAGCCAAACAGTGCATTGAGACCAAACCAAAAATCACTGAACACCACAGGGAGTTCATCGCTCTACATTTCAGTTGCACAGCGTTTACAACTTTAAGCGCAGTTTCTGTAAAAAGTTACATAAACCCTTTGGAAATTTGTATTATTTAGATATGAATAGCAAAGACATAGGGCCGGATCTATCAAAGGTTTGCATGTATAAAAACGTGAGCTATTTCACTGCGCACGCTAAAAAATTTACAAACTGATCTATCAACAGCGTGCTAAAAGGATTTGGTCTTTAAAACGTGCTAAATAGCGCCTCTTATCCATTTAGTACTTTTTCTGCAATGAATATGCAATATGGGGCATTTACACGCAAAAGTGCGTCTTGTGGGAGGAGAACATGTAAATATATTAATTTAGCACTCGCAAAGTGATTTATTAAACCTGAAAGCAATTTTGCTAACGGTATCTGACTCTATATTTAACACGTTTCAAAAGAAGGTGCAAATGGTCTGTATGCGTAATTGCGCACACATGGCAGCGGTTATTGTCGCAAGAAGGAGAAATCGAAATGAAGCAAGGAGACGCAGAGAACGCATTTTTTCACTCCGTGTGAATATTTTTGGAATAAACGAGGAAACAATCATCAAAACATGTCGTTTATCCAGCATTGCCATTTTGGAGCTGGTGGGGGAACTCCGAATGGATTTGGAGCAAGCCACAAGGAGGACCCACGCAATACCAGATATCACAAAACTCCTTGCAACGTTGCACTTTTTTGCATCTGGGTCATTCCAGTGTACGGTTGCAGCGAGAGCTGGGATCTCCCAATCTCAGAAGTGCTGTCCGACCGGGTCGGGGTTCTCCCCCTGCGCCTGTGGAGCAACATGCCAATGCTGCGGGGATGCGTAATCTCATCCACAGTCACTTCTTGTGAGCCATTTGGTATGTGCATTTTTCTACAGGCCAATAAAAAACACCTGTTTTTTTTGTTTGTTTGTTTTTTTTTTTTTTTTTACTGCAGTGCAGTAGAAATTCAGCCACATACCGCCTTAGGGAATAAAGGTTGCCAAAGTTTTTTTCTTTATATACATATAAATAAATATATAATGGGTGTCACTGTAAGATTTAAATTTCTTAATGCACTAGTTTGTAGAAACTACAAACTACTTTGCCGCAAACCACAAAACGCGCAAAACCATCATTTAAATAGGGCGTCTCCAACAGTTTTGCACCTGCCACCAGTTACGCAATCACTCTTGTTAAATCACCCGCAAACCATGGTTCAGCCCCTCGCGCAAAATTCCAGTTTGCGAGCGCAAATTACTGCACGCAAAATTGGATCTTGATAAATCCGGCCCATAGAGAGTATCCTCCTGGGTTTGTTGTGTAAATACTTGAGAATGCCACCAAGCAGTTTGATACAGGACAAAAGAAGAACATTGGTACATTTTACATATATGTTGACATGCATTGTGTTGGAGTTTTTTGGCTTCTTAACCAGCCTCACTACCTCAAACAGACACAATTTCAGACACAAATATAACCAAAGAAACACGATTTAGATGCCAGAAGAGATTTGCGTAGATTGAGATTTTTGGGTGTTTCTGCCATAGGTTTTGAATGCTACCATGATGCAGAGGACTGAGAACAAAACTGAACTAAAATAGTTTCTGATCTTCTACCAGCAGTCATGAGATGGTAGAATAGGGATCAATGAGCCGAAAGATAACATCAGATTTTGCAGCTGATATTGATCAGCTTGTGTATAGTTCTCCAAAACAATTCAATCTTAGATTTGTTGATATTATAAATTGATGAGGTTTACATAGCGCTTCTCTAGTCATAATGACCACACAATGCGCTTTATACTAGACACCTACCCATTTACATACATCAATATGCAGATCATTATCTTTGATCTTTGCAGTTTACATCAATATGCAATGTGGAAGTTGGAATTGAACCCATAACTCTCAAACTGTGCAACTGTGCCTCTACTCACTGAGCGACAGTAACATTAGCTACTTTAAATCCAAAGAACCTCAAACAACTAGTCACGGTTACTGGTTTATTGGCATGTGCAGAACTCCGAGGTATTGGGCGAGATGTGCAGCACCCTGATGGGGGCTGGTAATACTAGCTTGGTCATCCAAGAATTTTTAAACAGGAAAAAGCTGGCTGGTCCCATCCCAAGACAATTACATCACACTCAAAGTTAAGTCAAGGCTGTAAATTGAACCAACTGATGGCACTGAATCAGATGTTGGCAGTGAAGAACATTCCTTTGCTGTTAATTGACGGCAGAAGAACGCTAATTAATCAGAAAACAGAAAGCAATCCTTGAAGGAAAATTGGAAGAGCATTATCCAAAAGGTGCTGAACCAGAAGCGCCCTGATTATTAACATAGTAGATAAAAAAGAAAAGTGAAAGTTTTGAATTACATATTTATCTTTCCTAGGTGTAAACAGCACCTCACAGTTTAGTCTGGTAAGTAGGATTTAGTTTAGGAAAAGAAAATCCCAAATTTCTGTATTTCCATCAGGGTTTGTGTCTCATGGTTAGGACAACGTAAAGTATTAACCCTTTCAACAAACATGACATCAGAAAACTGCGGGAAATTAGGTTTTAACATCAGCAAAGGGAGGGAGTCAATTCAAGGATTATCTTGTTGATTTTAACATTTACAGTCTATAAATAATCACTTATGATTCTGAAAATGTTCTACCTTGGTTTATAAAAAAAAAAAAACTATTTACACACTTGAAGTATTGGAGCAAACTAAAACACAAAAGGCTTATAAGTTCATGTTTTTTTTTTTATGATCCACCCTCCACTGTCTTATGCAGTAGTAACAGATTTAGTTATGACAATGTGGGTCATTTTGGTCTCAAGGACACACGGTCTAATGATTTTAAAAAGCAAAACCTGTTTTTAGAGTTAATCGATTTTTGTTTGTTTGACTCTTTAAAGTTATTTAATATCCGTGCTACTTGAGCCAATATCAGTATTATCAAGTATTTTTAAAATTTTGGGATCTTGATTGTATAGAGTGTTAATGTACTGTTTGATACAGATTTATAACATAACTTGCACAATTACATGTGCAAATTTCACTACAGTCTTTTTTAATAGTGATTTCTGATCAATGAAGGACATTCTTTAAAGAAAACCAGTAAATGGAAGGGCTTCATGCGTCTGTCCTCACTCATCATGCAGGTTCAGGTTCCAGCTTTGCATCGTGTACGTTCAGCGCTCCCTCACCACTCCAGTGGTACAGTTCAGGGACCTGAACCCAGGAAGCGTGACGCGTCCATGGACGTATATATCTTGATCCGAGCCCTGGTTCATACGTTTGACCAGATTTTTCTCGTACAAGAGTGGGTGATAAGCACCGAGCGTGCAGGCGGCGTCGTAGAAACGCTGGTAGTAGTGACAGAGCTCCGTCTTCCTGCGGGATGGCAGGAACTCGTAGACATGCACCACTTCGCACAGGGACATCATCAGGACTGTGCCTGCACAGGAAAGGACATTTTATTTTTTTTGGATTCCTTATTGGGGCAAAAAAACAAAAGTATCTTGCGATTTGTTTACCCTGAACAAAAAATAAACCACACATTGCCTAACCCTCTTACGGTACGTTCACACTGCATACTGTGGAGGCGGGGATTTCCATGAGCCCCTCAGGTAGTCCACCGCTGAGCTTTTCAGATGCACAGTGTTTACACTCTGGACACTATCATCAAATAGTAGTTAAAGCAGACACCCCACTGACGTGAAGTGGACGAAAATAGGCTGAAAGGTTATTGCTTCTTTAGTGCAGGTTTGTGCATTTTAGATGATAATTTTTAAAAATGGAAAAAAAACAAACAAAAAAAAACAGAAATAAAGATAATGAGTGTTACTGTTGTTTCAGAGATATAATTTTTAAGGTCATGCAGAAGTCCACTATCCCTCCATTAAGCACAGAATGAAACTGAATTAAATTTATTTATCCTACTTTTTCAGTGCTGCTTAATTTGTGCAGTTAAAACTGTTGTTTGTGCTGATTTGGTTTTTAAGATGGAATCAGTGATGATGTCACCATCCCAGCAGACGTTAGTGCTGCGCTCGTTCCTGATGTGCGTAGAGTTATTGCATAACGTCACAAGTCATTCTTGAGCTAGTATTGAATAAACAGTTGGCATGTTTACCTTATTTAGCAGCTGGAATAATTGTTTACTATTTAGTAAATCCCCAGCGTCCCAGAGCCTTCGCTTTGGACCTACCATTACTCCTGGCAATCCCATGTCATTTCCTATCGAGGTATCGCTGTCTGTCGGCTTTTCACAATAAAAGCACAGGTGAAACTTATCATGCTAAATTATTCTTTATGAACAACTTTTGAATCGCTTTGGAAAGTCTACCCTTGTTTCGAAAAGCCCCAAATGCTCTGAAAAAGCCCACCTTTATTTCATCCAGAGCTGCTTCTAGATGATGGTCTGATTCGGTGGGAATTCCTTGTTGATCTGCACCCTCAGAAAGCACCGACGCTTGACAGTGTGCAGCTACAGACTGGGGTCTGTGCTGGAGGAGAGTCAGGATGACAAGCATTGCTTCTAGAGCTAAAATAAAACAGCTTATTTTAAAAGCCACTTAAATATGTATTGTTTCTACCTGTTATCATTATTTATCTCTGTTTTCAATTTTAAGTGAAAAAGACTTCATCTATAACCAATCCCTGATTGGCTGCTGTGTCTTGATTTCGCAGAACAGTTCAGCTCATTTCAACTTCAGCGATCACTGCTCCTCTCTCTCCATTTGGTGCAACACCTTAGCTCTATCCATTAGCACAAGGTCAGAGCGGAGCAGTGAACGCTCTCACCGCTGCCCACCTCACCACCCTTCCCTGCGCGGTTTGTATAGGAATTCTATGTAAATCCACCGCAGTCACAGCAGCCACCTCCTCTGGTCTAAACGCAACATTAATCTGAAACAGATCTATGACACATTTCCTTTACATAAACACATTAGGTGCCAATTCAAAAAGAACTGCAGAAGTTTCAAGTATTTGGTAAAGACAGAGTTGATATGCTTTGTGGAGTAGATATAATTTTCTGGAATCCTGCATTGATCATGGTCAAAATCACTGCTTCTTTCTTTATTGTGGCCCCGCTGCAGTAAGTAAATAGTTTGTTTACAATGATGAGTAAGAAGCAGTAAAAATATTAAAGCTTTAAAAAATATATATTTTCACAATGCGCTGCGGAGAATTATATTGGAATCGATCAGCGGTCCCCAACCTATTTTGCACCACCGACTGCTATATGTCAGACAATATTTTCACAGACCGGCCGGGGGTGGGGTGGGGTATTGGTTTTGGGGGGGATTTTTACAATCAATTAAAAAGATACGACTGGCATAAAATCAAATACAAACAGCATAAAAATAAAACAACAAGCCGGTCCCATCTAGGCGTAATCGGAGAGGATGACAGACAAAGTGTGCCCCTGATGTCCATTCTGCTCTGTAGCTTTGTTTTGGTCGCTGTAACCGCAGAAAATCCCACTTCACAAAGATAGGATGTTATAGATAGGATGAGTCTTGAACTGAATTAACCTCTATCAAGAGGCAAAGATGCACCGACTGACCGCATTTTTTTTTATATTTTTCAAAGTAGAACATCACTCAGACTCTGATCACCGAAAAAATAAATAAAAAATAATATATATATATATATATATATATATATATATATATATATATATATATATATATATACATATACACACACATACACATATACACACATATACATACATACATACTTTTTTCTATGCTGCCCGGTATCAAATGACCCACGGACCGGTACTGGTCCGCGGCCCGGTGGTTGGGGACAGCTGGAATAGATGATGTCTACTATTTAGCTTTGAAGCCAATATCGAAAATACTGATAGTATGATAATATTGTGCATGCCTACCATTTGAAATCGTCATAAAATTACACAAACCATGGACAGCTGTTGCTTCACACTGGCGTTCGCTGGCTGTCACATGGAAAAACACTTTTTTTTGTAGTAACATTGGCATCCTCTTGCTGAGGTGTTTGAGAACGCCTGGTATGCCTGGCTTTTCTCCCTGATGTGTTTGTCAAACCTAATGAGCTCAACCTATTAGGAAGGGGAAGGAGTCACACATCCCCAAATCGAATGAGAAAAGTTAAAAGATTCACTAAAAGCTCAAACTCAGAGAGGCAAAGCAATGAGGGAGGTGAGAGCATTACTTGATACCCCTCTTGCTACCACTGATGTTGCCAGGGGTCCACTCATCAAACCTTTGAAAGCACATCTGTCCAGCCTCTGCACTAATTTCCCCTCAGCATTTTCAGTAAAGTAAAGTGGGAAAGACTATTTATTGTGAGTGAAAATAGCAACAACCTTCCCGTAGAGTGCCACAAAGGTATCTGATGGATTTATCATTTTGAATTTTGGTGTATTGTAGAGAAGGAATATCTCACTGCTTGAATCTTTACATTTTGGTTCTACTTAACATGGTGAGGTAACCTTCTTAGCTTTGACACGGCTCAAAACCAAGCAGAGGAACATACTGGATGTGGAGAGAAGCCTGATAACAGCTGTTTCCACACCGAGTCCATCAGAGCTCATCAAACACAAGCAAGCTCAGCTGTATGATGAAACCAAAGTAAAACAGATAATATATCTGATTATTACTACTGTTCAGTGTTAATTTCCTGATATATCGAGTTTAAATGCGTTTATATGGGACCTATAATACTGTTTAAGTTGAGAATAATAAAATAAAGGAATAATATTTGCTAGAAGGGGAATAAATAAAATTATTTTCATTTCAAACAATTAGTTGTTGTATATTCTTCTTTTGGAGGATCCTCAACACCTCATTGATTGACTGAGGGGATGCGTACACATGGTATGGTAAACTGGCTAAAAGGATAGTCATGTTAAAAAAAGGTTGGAAACCACTGCTCTACATTATGGGTCACTTAGAAGGAATTAGGTATTCTGATAGAAACAAGTTAAGGTTTAAATCTTTGTAAGATAGCGGCCCTGTAAATGCCTGCAACTAGTGTTTAAAGGACTCTGGATCGTACTGTCCCAGGCTTTTGTAGTGCATCAATAAATGGACTTAAGTTTGCTTGTCATTTGCCATAGCTTAAAGGCTATGAACATTTTGGTAAGAAAAGAAAACAACTTATTATTGTATCCCATAAACAGTAACACTTTCAGATTCACCTTCGTACGGATCAGAAGCAAAGCCAGTATCTGGAATAAACTTCACAATTTCAGAAATCTCAATCTTTTTCCTGAAGACCAGCCCACAAAGTTCACTCCTAGTTTAAGTTTTTATTAGATTATCCGTTTCCCACACTATGCTTTTATTTGTGAAGAGGAACCTATTTTTATCAAACCACATTGGGACCCGAGTTGACAAAATATAAACAGGAAATTTGAGACAGCTGGTGGTTCTCATACCAAGCAGGCCAGAGGAGGGCGGGTTTTTCTGTATGGGTTCAGCCATGTTGTCCTGAATCCTCTGCCACAGCTGCCATTCAAAGCGAGGATGCAGGATGTAGAAAGGCTGCTGTGGGTGAAGCCTTCTGTATCGCTGGTACTGGCTGAAGATGGGGTAGTCTGTGTGGTTGTACCACTGCAGGAGGGATTAACAGCATTTTTGGATAAATGTGCCAGGAAATAATAATAATAATAATAATAATAATAATAATAATAATGTGGCCTACAACTGCAGGAAAGTTTTTAATAACGGTTAAAAAAAAACAGAAACCTAAAAAGGGTACCTGGCTGAGGTCAGAGGAAAAGGGGGAGGGGTCCCAGGCCACCAGAACACCTGAGCTGTACAAAGAACTGGAAAGGAAGCGCAAGTCCTCATTCGCCATCACCTAAAAGACAAACATTTTATTGACATACTTAAAGGCCAAAAATGCAAACAAGCAATTTGCAAGACAGAGTTGAGCTAGAATTATCAGTATGTTTATATCTCACACTAAAAATTACACACCTAACCCCCTCAACGGAGCCCTTAGTCTTTTCACATTTGCAATTAAGAACATGCCTTCCATTCAGATTTTCAGATTCCTATTCTGGCTCAGGGGTGCATGCAACCTAGCACCATGTAATGCAGGTCTTCCAGACCACTAGGGGGAGATGGTGAACTCGTATGGGATCAGAATATAGAAATTACTATGAATCAGGAACTGCTGGTATAAATGGGCTATAGGGCTAAGCCCTCCCTGGTGTTTATAACGAAACAATTAAAATACCTAATAAACACAAAAACGTAGCGTATTAAATTCGATCAAATCTACAACAAAACCCAGTCTGGGAAAACCTCAGGCTCCCTTCATGGGGCTAATTTTCACAACCTTGCTCATGTATAATCTTTCATCAGTCAGAATGATTAAAACATGTCTTGTCACTCCTGTCAAATCTTTGAAGAAAAATAATATCAGAAAGAGGCTTACTTCAATTCTTAGCATATAAAAACAGAGGATGCCAAACACTTCCCTTTGTAAACTATATTTACATTTTTGCCAAAACCCAAATGTTTTGTATGGACTAAATGAAAGCGCACAACTTTGATTGAAGAAAGCTTTGAGCCTTTGGTATTTTTGTGCAAATGTGACAGGATCTAAAAAATACTTGGGCAGCTCGTTTTTGCAGTTTAACACTCGCAACATGAAGACAATGCTCAGTTACAGGTGCTGGTCATAAAATTAGAATATCATGAAAAAGTAGATTGATTTCAGTAATTCCATTTAAAAAGTGAAACTTGTATATTATATTCATACATTACATACAAACTCATATATTTCAGATGTTTATTTTGTTTAATTTTGATGATTACAAATGACAACAAATGAAAATCTCAAATTCATCATATCAGAAAATTAGAATATTGTGAAAAGGTTCAAAATTGATGGCCCCTGGTGCCACACTCTAATCAGCTAATTAACTCAAACCACCTGCAAAAGCCTTTAAATGGTCTTTCAGTCTAGTTCTATAGGCTACACAATCATGGGGAAGACTGCTGACTTGACAGTTGTCCAAAAGACGACCATCGACACCTTGCACAAGGAGGGCAAGACACAAAAGGTCATCGCTAAAGAGGCTGGCTGTTCACAGAGCTCAGTGTCCAAGCACATTAATAGAGAGGCGAAGGGAAGGAAAAGATGTGGTCGAAAAAAGTGTACAAGCAAGAGAGATAACCGCACCCTGGAGAGGATTGTGAAACAAAACCCATTCAAAAATGTGGGGGAGATTCACAAAGAGTGGACTGCAGCTGGAGTGAGTGCTTCAAGAACCACCACACACAGACGTATGAAAGACATGGGTTTCTGCTGTCGCATTCCTTGTGTCAAGCCACTCTTGAACCACAGACAGCGTCAGAAGCGTCTTGCCTGGGCTAAAGAGAAACAGGACTGGACTGCTGGTGAGTGGTCCAAAGTCATGTTCTCTGATGAAAGTAAATTTTGCATTTCCTTTGGAAATCAAGGTCCCAGAGTCTGGAGGAAAAGAAGAGAGGCACTTCATCCACGTTGCTTGAAGTCCAGTGTAAAGTTTCCACAGTCAGTGATGGTTTGGGGTGCCATGTCATCTGCTGGTGTTGGTCCATTGTGTTTTCTGAGGTCCAGGGTCAACGCAGCCACATAACAGGAAGTTTTAGAGCACTTCATGCTTCCTGCAGCTGACCAACTTTTTGGAGATGCAGATTTCATTTTCCAACAGGACTTGGCACCTGCACACAGTGCCAAAGCTACCAGTACCTGGTTGAAGGACCATGGTATCCCTGTTCTTAATTGGCCAGCAAACTCTCCTGACCTTAACCCCATAGAAAATCTATGGGGTATTGTGAAGAAGAAGATGCAATACACCAGACCCAACAATTGAGAAGAGCTAAAAGCCACTATTAGAGCAACCTGGGCTATCATAACACCTGAGCAGTGCCACAGACTGATCGACTCCATGCCATGCCGCATTGCTGCAGTAATACAGGCCAAAGGAGGCCCAACTAAATACTGAGTGCTGTACATGCTCATACTTTTCATGTTCATACTTTTCAGTTGGCCAACATTTCTATAAATCCTTTGTTTTTATTGGTCTTAAGTAATATTCTAATTTTCTGATATGATGAATTTGAGATTTTCATTTGTTGTCATTTGTAATCATCAAAATTAAACAAAATAAACATCTGAAATATATGAGTTTGTATGTAATGTATGAATATAATATACAAGTTTCACTTTTTAAATGGAATTACTGAAATCAATCTATTTTTTCATGATATTCAAATTTTATGACCAGCACCTGTATATGGCTCCCTTCTCTGTACCATGTCATATCTAAACAAAGAAATCCTGCAGTTTTATAAGCCAATTACATATCACTTCTGCTGCTTTAATGTCACATTTTGTGCTTTTACTTTTGATCAGGGATATGGAGTACATCTATGAAGGTTGCTATGGCAACCAGTCCGCTTTTATGAGTTAAAGCATACTTTAAGTCTAAAAGGTAGTTTATGTAACAGCCGCCACTCATTTCCTTCATTTAACCAAAAGAAAAGCACATTTGAGGTTGAGATTTTATTTGCAAGGGGGATTTGGGCAAACTTTAAATCTTAAAAACCTTTTTCTGTTTAGTCCTTGTGTATGTACAGTTAAAAATGTTTTACAGCTTAAAAAAAAGTTTTTGTATTTGTTTGCATACCCAACTAAATTTCTTTAAAGTGCCAATATTGCCAAAACCGACACTTCTGTTTGGCATGAATCTTATTCTCTAACCCGAAAGGGTTGGATTATACACCATCGCTCCATATTGTGACACAAAGACCCATTCTAGAGTTGGTAAATGTGTTTTCATCTGGTTAAACATAATTTCTTCAGAATGACAATAAACTTTAATAAAGAAATTTGTGTACAGAAATATTTTCAAATGTGCAAGCCTACAAAATGTAAATTGTGTGATCTTAAAACCACTATGAATCTAACTTCAATCTAAATCCACCCCCCAAAGTAGTGTAAGATCATAAGAAGGCGGTGTTTCCTCAGCTGTAAAGAAAGTTTTTTACTCTCTCTTAATAGCATGATTTTTCAATAGAATTGCAAAGAAGCCCACTCTCTTGCATTTTTTCTAACACAGAAGACAAACATTTTGAGAAAGTTAGATTTATTTAATGTTAAAATTACAGCCGCATCATTTAGGCATCAAAGAATATCTATGTATTTGTAAGAGTTTTAATAAAAACAGTGTATGAATTTGCATTCAAACAGGTGATTTATTGTCTGTAAATTGTGGGAATTCTTAGTTTTAATCAATTTAATACCCAAACAAAGTGTTTATTTTTTTTCCATACATCACAGACTAGAGCTGTTCATTTGCAGACTAAATCCTGGATAACTGAATGGTGCATCCGATATCCCAGTGTACTATCATATTTCTGTCCAGATGTTCTAGTAAATCAGGAGGAGGATGTGTCAAGGAGAATAACTTTGGACTATTCTATTGTCAGTGTTCATTCTCGTATACGTTTCACACTAGTGGACAATATTGGCCTTGTTACAAACCCCCTTTTCCAAATATCTTTACTTCAGTGCTTATGGATGCACTCACCCACCTGCTGCCGTCCAGCAGCTGCCTTCCCCATAGGGAACGGGTCTTCTGGACACTGATATCCTCAAGTCCTAATCCCTGCGGCTGGGCAAGTGTTCCAGCACATTTTTTTCACATCTTTTTTGAGGACAAGTATCCAGTTTTTATACTAAAACAGTGACTTTCTTAACAAAATGTAATCAGAGTGAGGTTGCTTGCACATTTAAAAATTATACATTTAAAAAGCAGAGGAAAAAGATGGAATAGTAAACATTTTTTAAATGTAGAATTTATTAATGATCGAACTGTATTTGGTTTAATAACAATGCACTTTATTAACACAGCTAGTCTCATAAATTTTAGGTTTTCTTGTAACCCCCCCTCCCCTCTGCAAGTTTATGTATTCACTTCACCTTACTAACGGTCACTATTGTAATGAAAATAACCTCTGATATTCCCAGCCCCCATAAATGAGATTTGAGAAAGGCCGGAACAAACTGAAATCAAAACAGAACCATATTCCAAGCATCCCCCCTCCCCAAAAAAAAACTATTATATCAAAATATTATTCTAAGTCATCACTGAACCAAATATATTGATTCGGAGTGTGTGATACTGTTTGGCACAGTGATTTTCTTTGTTTTCCCCAGTGTAATGAACGTGTGAATCTGTTCATCTATCTTTCATATGCAGAGTTGAACCAATGCTGCTGCAAGAGAGGAGCAACAGGTAGATTTAATTTTTTTATGAGTCAGTCCCCTCAGTATTGCAGTGGAGCAGACACAACACTAAAGTGATTTATGAATAGTCATCTTTCCCTCCTAATAAGTAGGGTAGATTATTATTGTTGTATAATTATTGTTTCCTTCTCTCTCTACACCATTCTAGCTAATAAATTAATTCTCTATGCAGATCAGCTCATCACTTCGCTGGTGGCTCGTCAATCATTCTGCTAACAGATATGACAACTCTGATGACTTATTTAAATCTAATTAGTACTATGATTTATTTTCCTCTGTACTCAGGTAAAATACACATCAGTTGCTTTAGCTCTACAGGTGCTGGTCATAAAATTAGAATATCATGAAAAAGTAGATTGATTTCAGTAATTCCATTTAAAAAGTGAAACTTGTATATTATATTCATACATTACATACAAACTCATATATTTCAGATGTTTATTTTGTTTAATTTTGATGATTACAAATGACAACAAATGAAAATCTCAAATTCATCATATCAGAAAATTTGAATATTACTGAAGACCAATAAAAACAAAGGATTTATAGAAATGTTGGCCAACTGAAAAGTATGAACATGAAAAGTATGAGCATGTACAGCACTCAGTATTTAGTTGGGCCTCCTTTGGCCTGTATTACTGCAGCAATGCGGCGTGGCATGGAGTCGATCAGTCTGTGGCACTGCTCAGGTGTTATGATAGCCCAGGTTGCTCTAATAGTGGCTTTTAGCTCTTCTGAATTGTTGGGTCTGGTGTATTGCATCTTCTTCTTCACAATACCCCATAGATTTTCTATGGGGTTAAGGTCAGGAGAGTTTGCTGGCCAATTAAGAACAGGGATACCATGGTCCTTCAACCAGGTACTGGTAGCTTTGGCACTGTGTGCAGGTGCCAAGTCCTGTTGGAAAATGAAATCTGCATCTCCAAAAAGTTGGTCAGCTGCAGGAAGCATGAAGTGCTCTAAAACTTCCTGGTATGTGGCTGCGTTGACCCTGGACCTCAGAAAACACAATGGACCAACACCAGCAGATGACATGGCACCCCAAACCATCACTGACTGTGGAAACTTTACACTGGACTTCAAGCAACGTGGATGAAGTGCCTCTCTTCTTTTCCTCCAGACTCTGGGACCTTGATTTCCAAAGGAAATGCAAAATTTACTTTCATCAGAGAACATGACTTTGGACCACTCACCAGCAGTCCAGTCCTGTTTCTCTTTAGCCCAGGCAAGACGCTTCTGACGCTGTCTGTGGTTCAAGAGTGGCTTGACACAAGGAATGCGACAGCAGAAACCCATGTCTTTCATACGTCTGTGTGTGGTGGTTCTTGAAGCACTCACTCCAGCTGCAGTCCACTCTTTGTGAATCTCCCCCACATTTTTGAATGGGTTTTGTTTCACAATCCTCTCCAGGGTGCGGTTATCTCTCTTGCTTGTACACTTTTTTCGACCACATCTTTTCCTTCCCTTCGCCTCTCTATTAATGTGCTTGGACACTGAGCTCTGTGAACAGCCAGCCTCTTTAGCGATGAACTTTTGTGTCTTGCCCTCCTTGTGCAAGGTGTCGATGGTCGTCTTTTGGACAACTGTCAAGTCAGCAGTCTTCCCCATGATTGTGTAGCCTATAGAACTAGACTGAAAGACCATTTAAAGGCTTTTGCAGGTGGTTTGAGTTAATTAGCTGATTAGAGTGTGGCACCAGGGGCCATCAATTTTGAACCTTTTCACAATATTCTAATTTTCTGATATGATGAATTTGAGATTTTCATTTGTTGTCATTTGTAATCATCAAAATTAAACAAAATAAACATCTGAAATATATGAGTTTGTATGTAATGTATGAATATAATATACAAGTTTCACTTTTTAAATGGAATTACTGAAATCAATCTACTTTTTCATGATATTCTAATTTTATGACCAGCACCTGTATTTAGCTCTGAAGATGGTGGAATGATTGTCCAAGGAAAGTGCTTCTGGGGAATTTACCTGAGAAAAAGGGATTAATCAGTTGTGAAAGAGGATAGGGGAACTGGAGCCTGGTGAGAATTAATTATCAATGAAGAGTGGAGGACATTTATAATTAAATTCAAATTTGTGAAAGTAATGCAGCAGTAAAACTTAAAATTACCATCTCATATCTTTGACTTTTGGATACATTTTTAATCATTCTGTTTGGTTATTTTTCCCCTTTGATTCTCTGCTCATTTATTTCACCCATCTAAATAAAAAGTCACTTTTAGCAGCATTATGAGCCAATTCTTTGCTCTTAGTCCATCTTGCAGCAGCAGATTCAATGAATGACATATTCAGAGGTTGCCACAAAAGACTTGCCAAAATGTTCACGCTGTGTGCCCTTCCTGATGCAACTGGGATTCAAAGCCCAGTCCCCTACTGTACAGTCGTAGACTTAAACCACGTCACCATAGCGACTGCCATTGAGTGAATTTAGAAATAGGAAAAATACCAATTCTTACTATATTTCCTTAAATGTGTTGATCATTTTAAAAACATGGTGAATGCCGAGCTGTAGTAAAGGATACTTTAAGCTGGAAGCTACCTAGAACAAGGGTAGTGAAGCTAAGAAAGAATACATAAGCAAGTGTATATCAGGAACAAGTCTAAAAATTAGAGTCTGCTATTCTGAAAACATTGACCTTGTATAAAAAAGAAAAGAAAAAACATGATCTACACTAATAATTATCACCATTCAGCCAGTGCCGTTTTCATCAACAATGAAGATGATGAAAAAATTTCATTGACAAAACCTTTTCATGATGATAAGGAGACCGTCACAAAAAAAAATGGCTCCCGGATGACTAAAACATGGGACGTGTACAAACATTCGTTGTTAAGACAAAGACTAGACGAAAATGTTGGTGGATGGTACCTATGAAATTCACAAGCAATGACATTTCTGCCTGTTATGCATTTAATCTGAGAATCAAAAGCTAAACCATCAACAAGGGTGCAGCCCAAGACGGGACAGCATGTCAATATAAGTAAAGTTTACCTCCTTGTTTATGTTCTGTTTTCAGGTTATGATAGGTTTACCAGGTTGGGTTATATGTGCTTCATTAGTAGCTTAGACTAAATGTCCATGTGACCAGATTTCATGTAAGTTCTGAATTACTAGTTTTTAAAGTAAAAATCCATAAGTTCAACCACAGATTTCCTATAACTGAATGTAACTAAGAAACAAACCATCACATTTTCTCCAACTCCCAGTGCCTATAAACTGTTCTACATTTATAAGTTCACCTGTGAGTTAATGAGACGGATCGTTGTTTTGGAGCCAACATCTTTCTCGAAGCCACTGGTGGGAGCAGCGTTGAAGCGTATCACAGCATCATGAGAGTCTGTAGGTTGATCAAACAGACAGTTTTGAGAGGAAGGAAAGATAAGAAATTAACAATGCAACACTTATTTTCTGTCCAAATAAAAAAACCACACACAAATCAACTCATAGACCTCACAAAGCTTTTCTAGTGTGTGAGATTTATCCAATTAAACCACTTAAAAGTACACAGCTGCTGCAGATCTCACATGCATTTCATGATTGATGATCTGATCGATTGCTCTTTAAAAAATATAAAACAACTTTTTGACAAATATTAAAACCCTTACATTTTTAGGCATTTATCCTTTAAAATTCTTTTAAATCATATCTTACTTTCTACCAGGTAGTTTTTAGCTAGGTTCAAAAGGTTCTTTATTTATATTAAAAAGGGTAATTAAAAGGGTAATTAAAAATGTGGCTTTAATGATTATTTGAAATAGATATAAAAACAACTGCTATGATCTTTCAAAACTATTGAGGATACGATCTAATGCCCACAAGGTCAAACATTTTATTACAGGCTCCAACATACCTATGAACCTCAAATGACATTTAGCAAGTTGCACTATTGCCATCAAGTTTCTAGCATAATTCTAACTTGACCTCTACTTGGTCTACTGTTCCTTGTACAGATGGAGCTTTTAAGAATAATCCACAGATATTTGGCTGAAGTTTTGTGGCCTTTCAAGAGTCGAAAGAAGGATAAATTGCTTCAGCATCTCAAAAAAATGTTAGTGTGATGGAACCATACATCTTTCGCTTATTCATCAAGGTCATAGTGGGGCTGGTCCCCATCTCTAGCCGATCTCTAGGATAGAGTACACCCTGGACAGACCTCCAGTATATCACAGGGCAACAAAGACACAAACAACAGACAACCATGCGCACACACTCCCATCTAAGGGTAATTTAGAGACTTCATTTAACCCAACCACCTGCAGGTAAATGTGGCCAGCAAGGAAAAAAAAATACAAAAAGATACAAACTCAAAGCAACAATTACAGCAACCTCAGTTCACATTTGAAAGTTGCTCAAACACTCTTGCAAGAAGGCCACAAATTTGTCATTTTTATGACAGATGATACAGAGACATTCTTATCTCACAAATATGTTGAGACTTATCTCTTGACTTGTAGCAAAAGAATGTTTACCCCCTCAATATTTTTTACAGGTTCCATATGAAGCAAAGTTAGGTTTTATCTAATTATAATGGGTCTACCTCTTTTTGCAATATTTTTGGTTAAACCGATCTAAAAAGAAGCTGAGGGAGGTAAATCAAGCCGTTTAGACCCTAATCTACCATAAATTTCTCATTGCTTCTATCTTTTACTAGATTTTATGACTAGAGTTTAAGATCCATTCCAGTCCCGGGGAAGAACCAAACACCTTTGCATATCTTAACTTTTACACATGCAATTTTGTAGATCCCCTGCAACATTCCCACTTATTGCACTAAATGTTTTGGGGGGTTTTTTTTGCTCACACAATTTATCACTTCTTGTTTTCTTTGAAGATTAGGTTTGTCTGTAATACATAAAGGACTAACTTAAACAGAAGATGTCAAAATGTAGTTTTGATAGTTTTGACATCTTTGATAGAAAAGGTTACACATTTTAATTTTGCAACCACAGGGAAATTTCTCACCAATCTCTTTGCCCAGTCCAGAGTTGCGTAGTGACCCTGCAGACGACACCACTGCGCAGCTCTTGTATGGGCCGAGGTCGGAGGACAGCTGTTGTGGTGGCAGCAGCAGGGAAGCCCAGGCCATTGCAGAGAAAGGCTGAAAGTCTGGAGTCAAAGTGGAAAGTTGTACCTTCTCTTTTAGCTGACAGAGCAGCTCATGGCCACTAAGCTTTGTCCGCTTGGAGGTACCACCAGAACCAGACACCTTGACACCATATTTATTCATTGCCTGACAAAAATTACAATATATGTAATAAGCAAGCATATGTAATCAAGTTCATCTGGTGAGGGTTAAAGCAGCAGTTAACTCACCTGATAGTTTTGCACCACCTTCTGCAGCCTGCCTCCAAGCATGCTGCTGGACATTTCCTCATTCCACACTTCTCCTAATAGTCCTTTAGGTCCGAAGAACTCTGCATCCCCCGACTTGCCGCTTAGCTCCCCTTTACGCCGTCCGCTGAATAGGCCCGCCAGCACTCGTGTTAAAGGCCGTGGCAACAAGCGGGCGAAAAAGCCAGAGGATTCTTTTGCGCTTGTTCGTTTTGGAGGAGATTCCAAGTCTTCATTGGTGTGGTTTGACAGCACAGGGATTGGGCGGTGAGGGTCATTTGAATGCTTCTGAGGGACCACATTTGGGGTTTTCGCTCCGCCTCTCACCACCTGAGGGAAGTCCCAGCAATGAGGATAGATTTCACATATTAACTTTACACAGGTGATATAAATTTATCTAAAAAATAAAAAAATAGAGGACTGTGGGAAAGTGCAATATTTTTTGCACACCATCTCAGAAAACGAAACTCATTTTATAATCGTAACACACGGACTATACATCTAAGCCCATGTTTCTAACAATTTTGATAATTATAGCTTAAACTTGATAAAAAAAAGTGACTTGTTAAATTAGAACCTTGTGTTAATTATTATTAGAAATTCATAGCGTCACACCCTAATCAGCTAATTAATCAAAAACACCAGCAAAGGTTTGCTGAGCCTTTAAACGGCCTCTCACTTCCATTTTGTTGAAATTATTACATTTTGCAAAACTGCAATGGAAGCATTTTTGCATCACACAAGTCACGTGATGTGAAACTTGACCTAAATACCATCTTGTAAAAGATGGAGTAAAAATTCTGTCCGCATGGAGAACCTAGGAAAATTTGTAACCGTGTAGAAAATATGGCGAGTAAGCAGCGGCTCATACTGCTGAAGTTTTGAAAATCTCAACATCTACAGACATCCTGTGATTTAGTTCATAATTATCACCACTATCAACATATTGTGGAAAAACTCCAGGAAAGAAATTAGTGTCACCCTGGAACTGTATGAGGAGGATTAGATAAAGTTCTAAACGGCTGCGTTTTCTACTTCCTCGAGTAGTGGGGTGTTGTCAGCTTGCTCTTTATGCTGAACACGCACCCGTCACGAATAATGAACCCTTTAGTCATCCTCCATTTTAATTTGATCCAAGGTTACCTGACTGAACACAAAGCAGGATCATAACGCCATCTTTAAAATGTATATCAAATGACCTTGGTCATTCTTAGATTTCTGTTGACATTATTTCAGTGGTCATAAATCTTAAAAAATTAAATGATTTCCAATTTTATGAGGGACAAGCTTGATTTTTTTTCTTGGCATCTTTGGTTAAGGTGGCAGGTTTAATTTTTATTGTAGATCATTTTAAAAATCTAAGAAACATACAAAACGCCTGATTCATCTTTTCAATGTGGCACAGGTAACTAAAAGAAATGTTTTTCTTTTTCAAAGGGATTCTGACAGACCTGTTTACAAACCTTAATATGGGTTTGCTGGTGAAGATTCTCAGTCATCCAGGTCATAGTCATTCCAAAAAAGTAAAAAAATAATCCACTAGACTTTTTTTCCAGGTTTGAAGAGGTTTCGCTTCCCATCCAGGAAGCATTTTTTAATTAAAAATGTCAGAAAAAGTTAAGTTCGAGGCTTTATAGAGTAGCTATTTCTGATGTTTTTAATTGAAAAAGCTTCCTGGATGGGAACTTGAAAAAAAAAGTCCAATGGATAATTTTTTAACTTTCTTAATATGAGATAAATCAATTTAAACCTGCTTCAACCCACTTGTGTATCAACAAAAATTATATAATTAGAAGTAGTTTTGTACTTTTAAGTTAAAAACTGCAACGTCAACATAAGGGAGTATAAAGGAGGAGCAACAAACCTTGATGACAGAGTGTGTACGAGGCTGGGCCCTGGTACGTGCCCTCACACCAAAGATGGCGTCTGTGACGGGCACGCTGTTTTCAGCACACAGTGCATAAAGTAAAGCCATGGAAATGCAGAATAAGGTCATGCAAACGGCTCCACGGCGAGCTCGACGCCTCAGACGCCACAGCAGGCTGACCCTGTCCATCGCTGCTCCAGGAATCTGAACAGAAAATGTCACATGGCAGAAAGAAAGTATATCCAAACCTTTGTAATCATTTTGCAAAGAAATGTGTCCATAAAAAACAATAGGAATCTCTTAATTGTTATTTTAATTCCAGTGGTGGGTAAAGTATCCAAGAAAATGTACTAAGGTAAAAACTGACATTACCTTTATGTTTATCTGAGTAAAAGTATTTGGTAAAGAGATCACTGAAATACTGATAACTAATGATGTAGTATATGAAATGCTTTCACAAAGACAAAAATAGAACAAAATGTGCAAATACAGGTATTTTAAATTCTAAAATGAAAATAGGTAAATTTATAAAACAATAGCAAGATAAACTTAGGCAGAAGAAACACTTCTCACAAAAAAAGATTATAGATTAGATAGATAGATCAGGGTAAACAACATCAAGTATTTAAATGTGGTTTTGCTTTATACAGTGAAATTACTCAACTGGTCACTACCTACTTCTGCTTAATTCAAAGATATAGACTTAAAAATTACCAACAGACCTAAAACAAGAGGCTTAAAAAAAATAGCAAATTATTAAATAGTGTCTAGGTGTTACTTTATTGTATCTCTCACACTATATCCGTTGGTTGTTCTGTTCTTTTTACATCTCTTTGCAGGTGATGAAGCAGTCTAAAAATGTTTTATCATTATCTCCCTTTTATCTCCTCTTTCTTTCATCTTTTCTCCTTTTTTCCTGTTTTTCCTTTCCTGTTCTGCTTACATTGCAGTATCCATATAATCTGTAAAACTTCCTGCATAATATAATAAAGACGTCAAGACGTGATTTAGTTTCATCAGAATGTTCAGCTTGGGTGCTGCAGTTGAGTGGAGGTTCTTTGGTGTGGGTGGAGTTTGATCAGTTTGTTCGATTTTCAGTTATAAAAAAAAATAAATCTAACACCTTTAACAATCTCCATCCACAAATAGTCAGCCCAGCTCTGTAACCAAAGTGTATTACTTGAGAGGGTAATTTAACACTATTCAGTTATTTAAACAATGCCTTCATGTGTGATGAATCATACCTGTCCAGGAGGTAAGGAAAAAAACAGTAACTTGCAACCAAAATACAAGCACAATGAAAAACAAGCGGTGAGAAAAGATCTCAACCTTAACGAGGACATAGATATCTATCAGTTGTTGTGAAGATAATAAGGGAGGTGGCTGTAGGTTGGAGACTAAACAAGGAACAGCTGATCATGATTATTGTTTAACTACACAGTGGCAGAGACATTAAGGCCCAGTCCCATTTCCCTCACTTGTACTGGTTTTGGACCCTAGTGTTCAGTTTTGTGCATTCACTTGTGATGTTAGTGTGTCCTAATAATCTTAAAATGTAAGTATATTTTTACAATTAACCCCCCCTTTTCTTTAAAAATATGTTGGGATATTTTAGTTAGATGTAAATACAACTGAATTCCTTACTATTGTGTTAAAACATGAATATTGCATAATCGTTATTTTTTTGTAATACATAAATCGACAGTTTTTTTGTGTGTGTTTTAACGTAGGATAATTATGACCACAGTGGGTTCATAATAAAGACATAAAGCTTAGGAATATAAAGGAAAGCTGAGTACTTATAACCTTAAGTGATGGAAAACTTGAATCCATATAAACAGCCTTTCTAATTATTTGTGAAATGGTCCTAAAGAACAGTTCAGCAGTCATTCTAGAGGGCTCTCTAATCTAAACCCCAAACTGTTCACAACTTTTCCCACTTATTTCCAGTCAAGTCATGTTGCTTGGGTCTGCTTGTAGCTGCCCGTATGAAAAAACTGTTAGGTAACTGACTGCCATGCCAACCCTTTCCCTTTCAGAAGTTTCTTCTACATTCTGTTCGTTTGTGTGTGTGTGTGTGTGTGTGTGTGTGTGTGTTTGTGTGTGTGTGTGTTTGTGTGTGTGTGTGGGTGTGTGTGTTTGTGTGTGTGGGTGTGTGTGTGTGTTTGTGTGTGTGTGTGTTTGTGTGTGTGTGTGTGTGGGTGGGTGTGTGTGTGTGTTTGTGTGTGTGTGTGTGGGTGTAATGGCTGAGAATCAGTGGGGGTCCTCACTACATATAGCAGAACAAGCATGTGAGTAGGGGTGTGTTTTTTTTGAGAGTGGAATGTGTAGTTTATAGGCAAAGCAGATCCTAAAGTGGTTGTGGGCAGCATTAAAGTAAGAAGGAACTGACCTATTCCTTTTGCCCAATGAATTTTTCTGTTTCTTTAGTTACGCAGTTGGTTCTTGGCCTTAGTACAAAGATTTGGTCAAAAACTCCCTGTCTTCTGTTTGAATGAGCGGCTCCATGACGAATTATTTTGTGTTCAGAAGTCTTTTGTCTAAAAATACAAACACGCTGCTATTAAACAGCTTATTTCCATATAGACTTGGGACACAGGAATTGCATGTCTGGAAACGCACTAGTATCCAATAAGAAGTGTCAAGAAAAAATTATATAAAAACATTGATTTAAAATCCTCATCAGTAAAACAAAAGATACTAACTTTAAAACTTTTTTTGTGATTCAGTTGGTTCATTTACATTTCTAGAAGTGTCAGATCACCAAACATCAATTTGAACACAATGCTCAAACTAAAATGGATACTACTTAACTGCACAATGCAGGTTCCGAAAGACAACACCGACTGCTTTAAATTATTTTTTCTATTTATTTACAAGTCGTCCCCGCCCCCCCAAATAAATACATTTATATTTGTAAAACATAATCTTGCAATATATTAACATAAAATGTTGTGATTATTATATCAATATTTCGTTGCAAAATATATAACTTTGGATATATCTCATTCAGTTTAAGTTCAGTTCAAATAGTTTTTAATCTGAGTAAATATGTGTAATCTAATGTGAAGGTCATTCTAAAATTTATTTTGGTCTTTTAAGGGATTGTGACATGTAAGAGATTTTTTGTAATATTATTGACTCGTCTTTCATGTGATTAAAATGAGATCTAAGGCCAATGGCATAACGACACAACGATAGAACCGTAAGCAACATTATCTGGGTGGGCCCCATATTAGGTACCCCCCCCACCCCCTCTTTTCGGGAATCCACTGAAGTACCTCTTTTTGGTATCCATTGACATTGTGCATTGTTATGGTTTTAATCTACGCTCTGGATTACCCATAATTCCACGTCGTATTGTAAAAAATAAAATGCTCAAATATTCTTTTAAGATCTTTATTGCGGTTTGAAATATATTATTTGAGCATATTTTTTAGGGGTGTGCATTGGCACTGTCCTCATGATTCGATTTGATTACGATTCACAAGGTAACGATTCGATTCTACGATGCATTGCGATGCATCAAAATCCCATTGACTTCATAAAATCCGAAATGTGCCCAGATATCTGCTTTCCAAGCTTTTGGTGCGTTTTTAATTAGGCCTACCCGTCTATCGCGGTCATCTCCCTCCGCCTCAGCCATCTTGATTGTTGTTGGTATGCCACCGGAAGTAATTGAAACTTCACAACTTGTCCATTTGAGGCCAGAAAATAAACAGTGACATAATCGATCATGGCACGTTGCCGCATCGATGCTGAATCGTGCATGCCCCGCATTGCAATGCATCGCTGAATCGATTATTGTTGACACCCCTAATATTTTTTAACCAACTGTCTAATGAACTATAAACAGTTATTAGCATAGTAATTAAAAGTACCACTGTCTGCTTTGCTATTGTTGTCATGTTTAAACGGCTCACCATCATGTTGAAATCTGCCATGTGTTTGGGTATAAATAAGGTCCGGTCAGTTAACCTAATATCAGGTGGGTTTAAGAGGAATTTTTCGCACCATTACATCTGCAAAGAGACGTCCTAGTTCACATTTGTGTAGGGGGCAAACCAGGTGTCAGTGACGGGGCCCCTAAGAAGTCGGGGGCCCCTAAGCAACTGCAGTCTCTGCTTACCGTGATAGTTACACCATTCTCTAATGCTACGTTCACACCAAAAGCAGCAGAAGCAGCAGGAGCAGCTAGTTTCAATGCAAAGTCAATGGTTGACGCGCGTCAAGGCACAGCAAATAGTCCCACAGCAGCTGCAGTGCGTCTGAGCAGCTGAAGCAGCGCTTCAGGGGCGTTTGAGCATCTGAGACACACGCCGCGCCAAAATTGCAGCTGCTGCTCGAGTTGGAAAAATTGAACTTTTGCTGCTTGACGCGCCACATCAACGAATCAGAGAAACTGATCAGGGAGCTGCTAGGGAGTCTGTAAGTTACACTGGTCACAGTCACTGGTCTTTGTGTCATGTTAAGTTATTCCTTTGCCTCCTTTAGTGATAATGGTATGTGTAATAAATGTAGTATTTTGGGAGCTTTGGAGGCGAGGGTGTCAGAGTTACAGTCCTGGCTTTGGGCTGTCAAACGTTCAATAGTTAGAGTAGCCCAACTTGTTAACAGCCTGGAGCCACCAAAACCAGGGACAGGTCCACGTAGTGGTACTTCAACAGTGCCTGAGTAGCCAGGTGATTGGGTAACGATACGCAGAAAGCAAAGTCGTTGATCTCAGCCCACTGGGATATCACCATCAACCTGTTCACGTTTCCAACTGATTTTACTCACTCTGTGATGCTCCCAATGGGATGCCCATATTGGCAATTGGCAGCTCTCTAGTCAGAAACGTGGCATTAGAGACACCAGGGAACATAGTCTAATGTTTGCCAAAAGTTGGGCCAGAAAGAGCGACATCAAATCCTACCTGAAACTGCTGGTTAAGGATAAGTTTAAATACAGTATGTTATTCAGGCTGGCGTTAATGACGCCCGGTTACGCCGATCGGAGGTCACTAAAATTAGTGTTGCTTCAGTGTATAAGTTTGCCAAAACAATGTGGGACTCCGTAATCTTCTCTGGTCCCCTCCCTGATCTCACCAGTGACGACATGTTTAGCCACATGTCGTCATTTAACTGGTAGTGTCTTAAATGATTTTACCGTTTAACACACCTCTGCAGCTTCTCTACTGTTACCCACTCATTACTCCATCTAGA